AAAGCCTTTATGACATCTCCTCTGGGCCTGATTTTTAACAACCCGGTGAGACCTCCTAAATGTATATTGACCTTATCTTGCTATGATTTTCCCAGATATTCCCACCACATGTGCAACTCCAAAGGGATCTTGTTCATGACTGCTATCGCAAACTTGGACTCGTGCTCATTATGCACATTTATTAGGGTTATTAAGCAAAAATCAAGACTCATTTGACTCAAAGACAAAATTGACACACTTTTTCTTTTCCCATTTTTTCAAAAAAAAAATCCGGTTTTGCAAATACGGCCTTTCAGCAGCTCAAAGATGAAGATTTTAAGGCTGTGTTGGCTAACCGGTGAAAACCTTGTAAAATGACCACAGGCAGCTGTTCTTGCAAAAACAGCCTTCTGGCGCCCTTTTAGGGACAATCGGCTATTTATGACAAGAATGGAATCACCCTAACTATTTTCAAATAAAAGTAAATTTTTTGTTCTTTTGGATTATTTTTGCAAAGAGGAAGTTGGACCCGATGGGGATTGCCTACGTATCTCACACCCTGTGAGAATCAAACTGGCGTAGTTCGGGAAAATAAAAAAAACTTCTTTTTCTTTTCTTCTTTTTTTCTCACTCCATTGGCAAAACTCTTTTTTGTCCATTCCGTTGGCAAATAAAACAAACTATTTTTGAAGACAAAGATTATTCAATTTCTCAAAAATTTGGCAGAGTTTCAACACGATTTGGATATTGGTTTTTTTCAAAACAGGCGATTAACTTTCTTTAACCCTCATACTGCTATTTCTTTTCCAAATTCTCTCCTTTTATTCAAAAGCCGGTCAACATGCAAATCCGAAGCAAATAAATGCACAAGTAGCAAGTACGATGCATCAGGGTGATCTTTTATTTCGGGTGCACATGTCCAAGACAGACCCAACCCCTGTGTTGAGTCTCCAAAGTCAGATATGCACATGATGCAAGCAAAACGCTCCTACTAGGGATCCGGCATGAGGTATTGTTATACTAGATTTAAAACCCTAGGTTTATTTGTTCTAGACCTGGCTTACCCGAGCGGACAACTCGAGCCGAGGAGGGGGCTGCGTACTGGTAACCAAAGGATCATCTGGCTTTGCAACTTCTCCGAGCCTCGTTCTATTTCGGATTTGACACTAATAGAAAGAAGTGACATTCAACGTGCACTCCTCAGGAGAGAGATGAGAGGGGTTTTGTAGAAGTTTATATATACAGTTCAGATAATATCAAAGCGATAAAAAGCAACATTTAGCACATTAGGCCCAATCATGTAATAAAATCAGATAATAAATAAAGCCAAACATAATAATTATTCTATGCTCGAATTCTTGAACCCTGAACCAGAGATTCTGGGTTCGATCCCCAGCAGAGTCGCCAGAGCTGTCACACCTCCTTTTTTAGATACACCCTCGAAAGGGGATGTATAAAAGAATTTTTCCAATTAAAGGACAATCGAAACGGGATTTATACTAAGAAATTCAGAGTCACCACTTGGGAGATTTGTGGTATCCCAAGTCACCAAATTAATCCCGAATCGAGGAGAATATGACTCTGTTTAATAGTCCGCGAAACAGAAATCTGAGTAAGGAGTTCTGTTAACCCGGGAGAAGGTGTTAGGCATTCCGGAGTTCCGTGGTTCTAGCACGGTCGCTCAACTGTTATATTTGGCTTAATTATCTGATTTTAATATAGGTTTTAACCTATGTGCAATTTTAACTTTAAACCGCTTTTATTCATTTTTAAAGAAGATTGCAACGTTATTAAAACACCTCTCGAACCACGTCACATAAATGCACCCGTGATTTTTGACATATTTTAACATCGTTGGGATTTAGATTTGGGTCACATAAATGTGCACCCGAATTTAGGAAAAGTAATTTTATTAAAATATTGCACCTAAAGCAACTACGCGTTTTTAACTTTGCGAGGACCATGGAATTTTACTAAATGGCACACCTCGAATTCTAAATGTTTTTCAAGACATAATTAAAGAGGACCGCACGATTTTTCATCTTACTTGCCGCGACGCACCTCAATTCCATTTTTAAAGGATATTCAAACTATAGCTTGAAGGGCCATGAACTATGAGCTATCTAGTTATGACTCACCTCCAATCTACATGATGGGCTTAATCAATTAACACTAAATGTAGTTAAAAGTTCCTTTTAAATTAGCCAAAAGGCTTGTGTGAGGGAAAACTAATTCATTGCAAAAAAAAGGCATGAGCCCACACAAAAGTATTGGAGGCCCCAAACAAAGGAAATGGCCTGGCTCTGACTCAAAGAAGCCTTCTAAATTGGGATACTACATAAACAATGTCCTTGCCTAAACAAATAATATCCATATTATTCCGCCTAAACTTGATCTAACAGAAAAGGGAATATATACTTAACAGTACTTGCATCACCATTGAACAAAGAAGAAACAGATGCCAACTAAGGAAAGAGTTCTTAAATACAAAATATGAGGCCAAATAAAACTGACATGAGAATGGTCATAACACCTTGACATTGTAATGTATAACACCATGATAAATGTGCTCGAGAAGGCTGGCAGAATTGAGGAAGTAAACAAGCTTTTCCAGCAGATGAAAGATAGTGGAATCAATCCAGATGTTGTCATTTACAATACACTAATCGAAGTTCAGGCAAAGGTAGGTCAGCTTAAGCAAGCTTACAAGTTTATCAAATTGACTGCCAGCAGCACAAATGCTACAGCTTATCATCAGCACAAAGAAGACTGCCAGCAGAACATATCACTATTAAGCTATTTGAACGAATCGATTTAAAGTCAGCCTTAGCACAACTATTGACTAGTTGTGTGCTAAATTCCCAAACAGAACACCATGGCTAACAGTGCAGAATTTTTGAACAAGAGCAGGAAACAGAGCTACATAGACAGTGCAAAACAGGGAAGGCCAACAACTGCTCAAATTGACTTCTTCAACAGCTCGAAAGAGCAAAAGTCTTGTAGCAGAAACAAGGCATGTAAATTTCGAGCAAAGCAGGAAATAGAGCTGCCTAGACAGTGCAAAACAGGGCACCTTTCAACAGGCTGACAGTCCAAACAAGTATTCCCAAAATGCTACATATTTCAACACAATTCATTGCTTGAATCAGTTCTTTTTAGTAGCACGACAAAATAGAGTTCTTATAGCTGTAACAATGCAGATAACTTTTCGAGCAGGGGAAAAGAAAATAGAGGAAATCTGCACATGTACAAGCAGTGACACAGCTGAGTTTCAACACCAATTGTTTCCCGATCAAATAGAGCTATCAGTTGACATAAGGACTCGACAGAACAAAGAACAGCAACAAGCAAACTAGACTATCAATAGGCAGAAAACAACACTTGTTTCCAGAACTCTTCCGGGCTCCAACTAAGAAAAATGTACTAAATGTTCATAAAAATCACAACATAATATGTCGCTAGAATGAGATTCGGCTAACATTTTCACGACTACCCAAGCTTCAACCAAACAAAGCAAACTAATGGAACAAACAACAAGAATTCAAAAGTTAAAGCGTCGCAGATTCATACTCTGCTAGCAACCACAGGTTTCATCAAAATGTAACTTATCACGTTGACAATGCATAAATTTTAGCTTAATCAAGATTGAACTTCTTAACCATGTTTTAAGCCGTCTAAACAAAGTAGTACAAGAGAGGAAATGCACCCGAACGCGCAAAACTTCAACTACTTCCAAGAGCAGAATACAAGAAGGTTTAGTAGTGGAAATCCAAAAACAAAGCAACAGCAGAGAAACAGGACTTAGCAGCCAGGGAGGAAACTTGACCAGCAGCTCTCAACAGTGATGAGCTCGCTTAAATCAAATTCACTTGAAAGGAAATCATGGAAGGAAAATGGAGTTTTTTTCTTCGAATTTTCAGAGTTTTGGAAGCAAAGTGAGAACAAGCAAAAGAAAAGAACTCGAAAATTTTCCCGTTCTCTTTCAAAAAACGAAAAGAAAATAGAATGAATAAAACCTAAGAAAACTCAGAACCAAACCTCCATTTTTCTTCCTCTGATTTTTTTTTACCCCAGAATTCTCTGAAATCCTCCCCAATTACAAAAATCAGAAACAACCTTTTTGAAAACGAACCTCTAATGAATGTGGGGCTTGGATTCGGTGAAATCGATCCAACGCCTCACACTCATCCAACGAATAGTTCTCAGAACCTTCCAATCGCGTGCTATATCTCACCTTCGAGCGAGTGAGAGGAGGGGGAATCTTTGGTGTCAGAACCGTTAGAAATGGCAAGAAGAGAGAAGGGGGAAACGCGTGGTGTGAGGTTTGATGCTCACTCGCCATGGATTTTGCCAGAATTTGGGGCTTGTTCGCGTGTTCTTCGGAGAATAAGAACAGTAACGCGTTGGGTTTGGGACTTAGGGCTCGCCCGTTTGCTTCTTTTAGTTATGAATTATTTGGGAATGGGTTGGGTCAGTTTAAGGCAGACAGGCGGGTAAGGATGGAATTGGGTTGAGCCTGGACGGACTGGGTCGAATTTGTTTGGGTTGAATGGAATTTGGGCCTTGCATTTTAATCCATTACTCTACAGCCCTATTTTCTTAATTCTCTTTTTCCTCTCTTTTCATTGTTGTTTTTTCTTTCCCTTCTTAATTAATTAAAACTCCTAAAAATAATTAATTTACTAAATTATGCTAAATACCTAATATAATATTTACAAGCATTAATTATTTCTAAATTAAAGGGGAAATTATTGATTTGGAATTAAAAGGCTAGAAACGCAAAAGTAAGCCAATCTTGTGATTTTCATTTTAATTGAGTACCTAATTTAATAGTTAATCTTAAAATGTGAAAATCAATCCTAAATGCCAACGCATGGTATTTTTGTATTTTTTTTCATGAATTAAATAAAATAAACATGCACAGATAAATGCAAACAGTTGACAAAAAATGCCACAAAAATTCACAAAATTGCAAATAGTGGAAAAAATTTATTTTTCTTGAATTATGAGAGTAACCCACATAGGGCAAAAATCACGTGCTCACAACACACACCGTATTTTACACTTGCTCTTTGAAGTTTGATTTCAGGTTAATTTAAGAATGTTAAATTCTCAGTCCGCTAACTTAAACGTTGACGTCGAGTCAGGCCACCACGGTGAAAACAATAACGTGGCACCCAGCAATGTCGTACGCCCTCTTGATCCCAATGGTGTCCCAATCGCTGACCCGGTCAACGCTAACTCACAGGTTGCCATCAACATCAACTGCCAACTGACCCTGAAAATAGCATTCGCGGAGCAATTCGACCATCTATACAAGAAGCACCCAAAGGAAAAGGTGATGGAGTTAGCTTGCGGTTGATCTTCAAAATGTTACAAGCTTAGCAAGCGGCAATAGCGCATTTGCAGACCCAAAGTCACACCCCTAACAGGATCGAGCGTGAGTGGGTAAAAGAAAACGCTCAAATGGATGAACAAATTGCCATGAAACTAGATAAATTCGCGCTCGGGAAATATTTCAAGCTGATGAAAATGCTCGAAGCGCTAACAAAACGGGTTGAGTCTAGTAAGAAAAAAGATAATGACAAGATGGTGAAAACTTACAATTCGAGGGTCGATCAGATCCCGGGAGCGCCTCCAATATTGAAAGGGCTGGATTCAAAATAATTCATTTATAAGACTTTCCCCCCAAGTACGGCACTGAAGCCAATCTTGAAGAGATTCCGAATGCCCGAATTCCCAAATATAATGGGATCATATATCTAAACGAGCATGTAACTTCCTATACATGTGCAATTAAAGGCTTTGACCAAGAAGTCGATGAGATCAAATCAGAGTTAGTGAAGAAATTTGGGGAAACCTTGTCCAAAGAAGCGATGATATGGCACCATAACTGCCTCTGAATTCTATTGATTCATTTCTATTCTTGAAGATGCTTTCTTAAAAGCCCATGCCAGATCCATCAAGGTCGAGACGAGGAAATCAAACCTATTTAAATTCAAGCAGAGAGATAATTAGATGCTTCGGGAGTTCGTGTCAAGGTTTCAGATTGAGCGAATGAACCTGCCCCCGGTCGTGGATGATTGGGCCATTTTGGCGTTCACTCAAGGGCTCAAACCGCGAAGTTCCATTGCTTCTCAATAATTGAAGTAAAACTTGGTAGAGTACCCAGCGGTTACTTGGGTCGACGTCCAAAGCAGGCATAAGTCAAAGATCATAGTCGAGGACGACCAGTTGGGGCCGCCCTCGGGGTCTATTTACCCAAACAGAGCGAATGACAAATCTAAAAGGATTAGGGACTAGGAGCCAAGGCCGGTCTGAGATCGGTATCACCCGTATGACTCAGACAAAGAGGGAAATAGATACAGTCACCACCCAACCAGGAACGACAGGAGAAGTTATCAAGCACCAAACAACAAACAACCGGGGTTTGATGAGTAAGGGCGGTTTCGGTAGATCGCTCGGTGGTAGGGAAGAACCGAGATTTTTGGTGTAAAACTTCAATGTGGATGTTGCGAGTATAGTGTCAACCATTGGTTGCATCAAAGAGACCAAGTGGCCTAGGCCACATTAGTTCGATCCCGCACAAAGGGATCATAGCTTGGTATGTAAGTACCATGGTACTCACAGTCACATGATCAAATATTGTTGACAGTTGAGGTAAGAGGTGGCTCGACTATTCAACAATGAACATCTTCGAGAATTCATAAATGAACGGGCCAAAAATCATTTCAATAACAGGGATGCCAACAAATAGATTGAACAAGAGGATCCCAACACGTGATCAACATGATCATTGGGGGAGTGGATGCCCCCAAGGGCCAATGATAAAATGCATCAAGGTTTCTATCACAAGGGAAAAATGAACCCGGGATTACGTCCTGAAGGGGCCCATCTTATTCAGCGACAAGGATACTGAGGGCATCATCTAGCCTCACAACTATGCACTAGTAATATTCGTACTTGTCAATAAAGTTCGAGTTAAATGTGTATTAATTGATCCAGGTAGCTTGACCAACATCATCTGATAGAGGGTCATAGAAGAGTTGGGATTATTGGACCAAATCATGCCGGCAGTCCAAGTGTTGAACGGGTTCAACATGGCATGCGAGAAGATGAAAGGTGAAATAAGCCTACCATTAAACACTATGGGGACCACCCAAGAAAAAAAATTCTACATGATCGAGGGGATATGATGTACAATGCCTTGTTTGGAAGGCTATGGGTTCATAGCATGAGGGTGGTACCAGCAGCAGAATTTTTAATTCAAGATTACAATTTACATAGCCGTAACAAAAACACAGATGCATCATGCGACAAAGATGCATCATGCGACAAAGATATACTAATTTCTATCAATAACTTTTTAGCAGCAAAGATGGAACATGCAAATCAAAATTAAGAAAATCACAAAGCAGATACGAGTGCTTAATCACTATCACTATTAAGCACTAAAAAATGGATATGGGAAGATTATTATAGTGCACACCGCTAAGAAATAGAGTATCTTCGACAGATTTTAATGGGTCAAATTAAAAAATAGAAGAAAATTCCCTATCCCTCACCCACCCATCAGTAGGTACGTTGCCAAAAGAACGGATTTAAATCAGTACTTTTTTATTTTAAATAAGCAATATTAATACCTAGAATGAGTTGGTCTTCTTTGTTGCTATCAGTGGATGGACGACAGATTGGTTGCGAAGTTGGTTGCTATGCAGAAGAAGCTTCTCCTGGAGAATTATCACCCAATGCCGCAAGAATAATGTTAGCATCAATATTAATTCCTGAACGCTAAAGTCGTGCAAGGACATCTGCAACAACTTCTTGACGGATAGTTGCCTTTTGTTACTCAATTTTTTCCTCCATTCTTTGTATCTTCTCCTCCATTTTTTGTAGAGAATTTGTAGTATTTGAAGAGGATTTAAAAAATCCTACTTTCCCTCTCAAAGAAGTTCTTATAACCCCTCGTTCATACAATCTCAGACGTCCCGGATGTTCAGGCTCATGACATATGCAAATGCATCTACGGACTCATTGCCATTTTCATTTTGTTGTGCTTCAATTTCCTCCATTTCAGACTTCAAAGAAAATTCAAACAAATAGAACAAGTAAATAAAAAGTAAACTAATAAAAACAAATAATTGATCTCAATATAACATCAGTTAAATATAATTCGCACAATTTTACTAGTTGTATCTTCATCCGAGAACTTGTATGATCGCCCATCTTTCCTTTTTCTTGTATCTACAAAGACTTCCTTTGGTGATAAAGGAGCCGAAGTTTCCTTATCATTTTCCTACTTACATGAAAGTAAGTTAGCATTCTTGATGATCTACCATGTACTAAACAAGAGCCAAAATTGAGAAATTGGTTGCCATGATTTGTTAGTTACACACCAACTTAGAGCGAACTAAAGCAAAACTTTTTTTTCCACCAGTGTGAGGATTCTTCTAACTTTTTCCGGTTTTCAATATTAATTTGGGACATTCTCTGCAAGAAGAAAGAAACATCAAACAACAACTTCATTATGGATCATTCATGTTCTTCAGTACAAGCCATTCAGATATATATGACCAATTATTCTCATAACTTAATTGATCTCTCAAGTCATATAGTTCATCCTTAAATTGCACAATCAATCTAGAAGATAAGGACCTTTTTTTTTAAGAACTAGGGGAGGAGTTTTATCACCAATGCAAGTTTAAGGAAGGCAATGGAGCAAAAATAAGGTTCTGGGAAGATAAATGGTTGGGGGACTCAACATTGCAAGCTGATTTTCCGAACCTTTATTCAATATCCACAAGTAAACAGTCAACCATTTCACAAAACAGAGCTAAATTCTACATCTTCTTGATGCTTTCTATGAAATACATTAACTTATTAAAAAAAACAAGTGGCTCATGAAGCAGGATAAATGATTCAACCAGCTAAATGGTCCGCCATCTCCAAAAAAATTCTTAACAGTAAAGAATCAAGTCACATCACTAAAATAGTAAAAATGTAATATAAATGCAGTTCCATTTGTCTAATAATGAACGTTAAACAAAGAAGAGATCAAGCCACTAACAACAAAAAGAACTGTTGGCAAGACAAAAGCAAATAGACTCATTGTTGTCCAACTTCAGCTTTCTTCTTTAGCCAAAGCCTATCAAGAGCACTATCAGCGTCTTCCTCGGCTAAACTCATCCAAATGCCCAACGTTGAGCTGGACATAAGCATGATCCTTAGAAGTGATCAACCTGTTAGTGGCAGAGAACTTCCTATGGATGTAAAGGTCCATGTTTTGTCCCTCGTCGTTCTGCATCTTGAAAACTAGGCTTTACACTAGTAGACATTAGAAGTTAAAAGCCCCTGGAAGACAGTCTCTAAATAAAAACCTAACAACTAAATCCCCCAATTCTGAAAACTAAAAATCACAAAATATATCGCATAATACAAACAAAACAGAAGCAAAATAATGGGTTTATCAGAAATATTATCAAAGAAAGAAAATAGAAGGAGCAAGGAAATAATTTTTCAGACTAGGGAAGAAGAAAGCAAAATCGAACAGTAACAGCAAACATCGAACAGGTAAAAACCCGAAAGCCTACCTCAGATATTGTGGTATATTAGCAGATAATAGTCGTCCTTCACCGGAAATAATCGTCCTTCACCGGAGCTGGTCGACAGAGTTCGCTGGTGGGTTCTAGGTTGATGAACAGAGAGAGAGGTGTTTGAGATTTTGGGGGAATCGCTGTTGAGAGTGAAGTCGATGTCTTCTAGGTTGGTTTTGTGTTTCAGAGTTATTAAGATATTAGTGGGGTCCATTATTTTTGTTTTTTAATAAAAACCTATGAGGGAAACAGAGGAGGGAAAATTAAACCGCTCTAATAGCTTTTTATTTCACAAAACCGTTCCCACAAACAACCTTATTGTATCGCATATAAAAACCATCTCCATACAGATACTTATGGTGATGGTTAATAGACTATTGGAACGGTTATTGTTCAAAAGTGTGCCAGAAGCCTTTTGACTCTATTGGGATGGTTAAAACCGTTCCAAAATATGATCTATTGTAACAATTACAAAACCGTTGCCCAAAAACTATTCCAATAAATTTGTTTTCTAGTAGTGCGTTCTGATTTAACCCTTCAGAGTGGAAGGAACAACTGAGGGAACAGGTCCCTACCAGTTCCCGAGGAGACTATACGAAGTCAACTCTTCAGTTAGAAAGTTGATACCTATACACGCTACAGTACATGAACAGTGTTGCAGTCAACTTTTCACTGAAGACTTTTTACCTACCTTTCTTACATCATTGTAAGTGATGTCACACATGTATATATACAATCAAGAAAGGTAAAACAAACTCAATTGAACTTTTCAGAAGCTCATTCACGTGACTATCCAGCAAGAAAGTTTCAAGTGCTTCAAGAACAAAGAACAAAGCAACTACGCACCAGTTCCCACATTGAGTTATTGTATGTCCTTAGTTGAGTTGTAACTTTGTAATAGTTCTTCAATTGTAATTCCTATCTAGCTTTTTTAGAAGTATTCTATAGGAACCCTTTTGTAAACCTTAAACTAGTGCGTTTGAGTCTTGGCTAGAGTTAGTCATGCTGTAAAGTCTTTGTAATAGAGTTATTATAAAGTGGCTTGTAATAGAGTATTACAAGTTAGTAAGGGATTAAGAGGTTAATTCCTAGGTTGAATAGGTTGTAATCTAAAAGTTGCTCAGTAGTGAATTTGAAATCCTACAAGGGTAGGTCGAGATTTTTAATCCCGTTGAGCTGGGAATTTTCCACGTAAAATTCCTCTTGCCATTTAATTATTGCTCTATATGTATACTGTTGAATGTGATAGAGAACCTGGTTCTCTATAGAGTTTGGTTGACCCTTATATTCTATCAGCCAGCATATCCTGGGCCTCGGAGGACTTGTTCGAAGCTACCTACTACTTGGACATAAACGTGAGATACTCCCGTCCGAGGGCATTCCGTTATGAGATGGCCGAGTCCAGTTGTGCTCGGAGCTCATTATTTAGTCGAGACCACTTGTGGACTTTATCCTTCATCACTCTGAGCTGGTCCTTGGCCGATGCCAAATCCTCTTTGGTAGCCTCCTTTTTCGAGGCCAGAAGATCCACCTTGCTCCTCAACGCCTCGGCTGATGCTTTGACCTCGTTTTTTTCGGCTCGGAATTGGTTGATCAGGTATATCTTCTCTTAGACCTGTGAGGTTGCATTATTTGCAGCTATTCTTAGCCTCTCATTATTAATCTAAAATACCCTTACCTTTTCGACCAGAACAATATGTTCCCGTTTCACCGACGAGGACTCCTTTTGAGACTTTTCCTACTCAGCTTCGAGGATGGGAGGTCCTTGAGGGCCTCGTCTTTTTTCTCTCTAAGAGCTTTGTAGATGTCCTTCTACCGAACCTATTCCTTGAGCTTGAACTTGATTTGGCTCACCTATATTAAAGACTGATGGAAGCTCTCGTGATGAAGCACCGAGGCATGAGAAACAAAAATGATGAGATCATAAGAATATGCAAAGGTTAAATGAACCCTTTAAGGGATACAAAGAAAGAAAAACATACAATGTTCAGTGCCTGTAGTGCCTCGTTGAAAAGGCTCGATGCATCTACCTCGTTCATCTTAGCTTGGTCCTCTTCGGTCACCAAGTAGCGATTGTAGCTAGCAACGCCAACCGATCCGGACAGCACCCGGGTATCCGCTAGGATCGTAAATTATAGAATATAAGGATCCACCAAACTCTATAGAGAACCAGGTTCTCTGTTCGGTCCAACAGTACACACACCCACAACAGTAATTAAATGGCAAGAGGAATTTTTCGTGGAAAATTCCCAGCTCAACAGGATTAAAAACCACGACCTACCCTTGTAGGATTCCAAATTCTTTACTGAGCAAACTTTTAGATTACAACCTATGCAACCTAGGAATTAACCTTTTAATCCCTTACTAACATGTAATACTCTATTACAAGCCACTTTATAATAACTCTAATACAATCACTTTACAACATGACTAACTCTAGCCAAGACTCAAACACTCTTGTTTAAGGTTTAAAAATGGGTTCCTATAGAATACTTCTAAACAAGCTAGATAGGAATTACAATTAAAGAACTATTACAAAGTTACAACTTAGCTAAAGACATACAAAAACTCTATTTGGGAATTGGTTCGTAGTTGTTTTTTTCTTTGTTCTTGAAACACATGAAACTTACTTGCTGGATAGTCATCATAAATGAGCTTGTTAAATGTTCAAGTATTTTGTTTTACCTCCCGTGAATGCATATATACATGTGTGACATCACTTACAATGATGTGAGCAAGGTAGGTAAAACGTCTTCCGTGAAAAGTTGATTGTAGCGCTATTCTGCACTATAGCATATTCAGGTAGCAACTTTCCAACTGGAAAGTTGACTTCGTACAGGCTCCTCGGGAACCGGTACAAACCTGGTCCCTCAGCTATTCCTTCCACTTCTGAAGAGTTGAATCGTATTCCACGCTGAATCCCAACCTGGGACCTTGTGTTCTTGAGGTCTTGTACATGTATAACAAGTTACTTATCTAGTTCTGGATAGTAAGTTTGTTAGATTATCAAAACATAAAGTAAAGTACTTATAACTAAAGTACTTGAAACCTATCAGTAAACATGACCGTTCTTTTATGTTGAGATCTACACTCGGGGCTAGGAACTGCATCACCAGCTATTGGCTTGATCTCGGCCCGCCTAACTCTGGCAGCATATCCCTTTTTGAGATCTCTAAGTGACCAAACCCGGAGTAGTCCTCTAATTCACCGATGTCCATGCCTTCAAATAATAGTTTTAGGGCCTTGTCTATGGCCCATGATATCTCGGTTGGTTTTCTTTAATGGCCTAAACCTCGTAAAATAGAGACTTCATGTGAGATGATGACTCAGGATGTCAATTACATTGGAGGCTTCTCTCGGAGAGGGAGTAGCTTATCGAGAGGTCGTAGCCACTAGCTTTCCTTCGGGCTCCCAAGCCAAAGAGGGTTCGCCCCCCGGTCACTTCCTTCTTATGCTGCCTGCTCTTCTGCATCAATGGCTAGCCCATGGGCAATGAAATCCAAGTCGTCATCTTCAAGGTAGTCCCTGAGCTGGTAAAGGGATTCGGGGTACGATACCCTGGCCCGAGTACTCTTATTTTTTCTCTCTAAGACCCTGACCACGAACCTCTTCTTCATGGCCTCGGCGTTCACCTCTAGGGAACCAGAGACCCCCTTTTTCTTCTCTTTTTCTCTACATTCTTTGCAGCGGCCTCGACATTAAGCTATCCCGAAGTGTAGGGTTTAGCAGGCGAGGACGGAGCCTCTTCCTCTTCCACTACTTGAAACTCAGTGGTCTTGGGCAAACCTATGGAAGAAAGAAAGGGACTTAATAAAGATGATAGTTGAATAGAAAAGGAAACTCAATCGGGTGGAGAATACTCACTATGGGAACAAGCCTCCCACTTGCCCTTTAATAGTTGGGGCCTTCGCGCACCAAATATCATAATTGTTTGACTATCCCCTCGACCTACTCTTTGAAGCAAGGAACTACTTTGTGGACTCGGGCGACCACTGCACAACAGTAGAACCAGGCGATGAGAAAGAAGAACAAAACCCAAAGAGTATTCTAACTACTTAAGAGGAGAGGAACTTACGTGTTAAGTTCCATTTTTTCAGGGAATGATAGGAACTTGGGAAGAATGATATCCTTGGGCGTAACACAAAAGAATCTCCCTTACCAGCCTCGGTCCCTGTCTTCATCGATGCTCGAGAATGGATCTTTCTTTGCTCGATGGAAGAGCTTGACTTATCCCCCTCAAAATATTCAGGGACTGTGGAGGCGAAGCAGATGGCCGATGTTAAACCAAGGTTCCACCATGTTATTGAAAAAGTGACAAAGAAGGATCATGATCCTCTAAAAGGACGGTTGAATTTTCCCGAGGCTGACTTTGTACCTTTTGTAGAAGTCGAGGAATATTGTATCCACCGGGCCAAGAATGTAAGGGTATGTATAAACACTTAAATACCCCTCCACATGCATAGTGATGTCCTTATCAGGTCCAGGAACAACCACTTCCTTGCCCTCCCACTTGCAGTGCTCTTGAACCATCGAGAGCGTGTCGTTAGTGATGGAGCATTTGTACTTCCACACCTCCTCACCTTAATCCCCTTGCTTGGAGGCTTTTTGGACTTTAAATTCATTTTCTATATAGCAGCCTCCAAGGATGAAATTCTTTAAAGGAAGTTTGGAGGCCACTTTAGGTATGACCACTTCGACATTTGTGGCCGGGTTAGATGTTGAATGGACTGTCTATTAGGGCAGAGATTTTGAATTTTTCACTATCAAATTCTGGGAATATGAATGTATATAGGCGTGTATGAAGATTTGAAGATGAGAATGAAGGTCTTAGAGTCAAACTTGAAGATTCACGAACAAAGTATGAATATTTGAAGATGGGAAGATGAAGATATGAAGATGTGAAGAACAATATATGAAGATTTGAAGGGATTATGGGCAAGTCAAAAGTTCGGGGGTAACATAAGAAGGTTTGAAATCGGAAAGTATAAAAGTGAAAAAAGAACCGAAGCTTTTATAGAGGAGAGGTAATTAATGCATGATGTTTCGCATTCAAGGACGGTCAACCGGTAGCTGACACATGTCCAAAGCCAGAGCGACACGACAGATGGGACGCTTTACTATCTCATTGACCTGATTGCAGTGTATGGAGGAGTGAACCAGGGTAAATTAATCA